CTAGTCTCACACAACACCTTAACTGTCACAAAACTGTTTATGAACATTTATTTCTGTCATAAATTGGTTGCAAACTGACAACTCTTCACATCTTAAAAAACATACGCCATCAAAATTTCACATTAAAAACAATGAAAACAATATTTAAAATTGGATACATGTAAAATTGGATTTAAAAAAACAACATACAACCTAGACTGTTTGGTAACTAAACACTAAACTCAAAATAAATGCTCTGATTGCTTCCAGAAAGAAACTATGGCTTTCTAATTCTGGACTGAAGATTTTACATATGATAAAACAATAAATACTGAATCACCAGTAACCAATATGGTTAGATAATTGGGTGTGTTAGTGTGCAAAATGGAAGGGAACAAGTTCACAATCAGACAATACTTCAAGATATTGATACCCAGTCCTTACAAACCCGAGTGGATCAATCACAATTACCATGGGTTTGGACATGTATGCAGAATGGGGGGAAATCTGCCACCATGGCAGGCTAAGAATCAGGGAACCAGACCTCTAGGGGGACCCAGGGTCCGCTGGGAAGACAACATCCGATGGTCCCTAACTGACAGAGCACTGGAACAAATCCTGAAAAAACAATTCTGATAGAGAAATCTGGCGATCTGTCTGGCAAACCTCTGCACCTCAAGAGAAGAAGAGTGACCAAGTAAGTAAGTGTGCAATATGCATACACAAGTGTGTATATGTTGTGTGTGTGTGTGTATGTGGCTGTATTATGAGGCATGTGTGTATGAAGGTATGTGTGTGTGTGTGTATGTTGTGTGTGTGTGTATATGTGGCTGTGTTATAAGGCATGTGTGTATGAAGGTATGTGTGTGTGTGTATGTATGTATGTATGTATGTATGTATGTGTGTTGTGTGTGTGTTGTGTGTGTATGTATATGTATGTTGTATGTATGTATGTATGTGTATGTATGTATGTATGTATGTATGTATGTATGTATGTATGTATGTATGTGTGTGTGTGTGTGTGTGTGTGTATGTGTGTGTGTATGTATGTATGTATGTATGTATGTATGTATGTATGTATGTATGTATGTATAAATGTAAATAATGATGTGTGTTGTTCATCCATCACAAGTGGAGAAGACCTCTTTTCATCCAAAGTAGTAATGATCAAAGATTATAAGTGTGAAGGTGGCTGATTAGTCCAGTATGAGCCCGGAAAGTTTGTGAGCAGTGCGGACAACTACTGGAAGCCCCAGTAAGTGTGGGATCAGCTATACAAATCTTTCTAGTCTGCCTCCGTGAATCTGCCTGTGCAACTCCGCTGCCTGGTAGGCTGATGCACGATGCCTGAGGAATGTACACCATCCAGGATAATTTTGTGCAGCAGCCTCCCATGCTGCTGTGTTGAGGCCAAAAGAATTGAGCGCAGTTTTCAGAGCGTCCTTATAGCGCTTTTTTTTGTTTTCCCTGGGACCTCTTCCCTTGCTGGAGCTCGCCATAAAATACCGTCTTTGGGAGGGGATATTCTGGCGTGCAGGCTAGGTGACCAGCCCAGCGCAGCTGATAATTCTTGAGTATTGTGTGATGTGTATGTAGTGCATGAATGGAGAAATCAGCAGGAACACACACTGTTCATCACTGGAATACACGTGGTCAAAGGAAGAAGACAGAGATTGCTTGGACTTGTTTGCAGAATGCCTCAAGACACTTTGGCGAGGACAGCTCTCTGACAGACGGCAGGTGGAAAAAAAAAAAGCAAATGTGAACAACCTAAGGCAACCTGGAGAAGGTGAGAAGAAAGTGAAAAGAAAGAGTGCAAAATCACATGGGATACCGCAGGCAGAAAAGCTGCATACCAGCAATAATGGAGATCACTTGTGAACGTTTTAACGTAAACTATATGGAATTATTTTATGTTCCCTGCAGAAACAGAAACAATAAACAGTAAGTAATACTATAAGGCTGGGTGGCGGCGGAGAGGAGAAGAGGCAGGCCAAGAAAGACCTGGATATACAACATGGGCGAAAGGACAGTCTTTAAAGATACAAACATCGAGTCTATTGCATCTGGCCAACAGAGGTTCGTTCGTTTGTTCGTCCATCATAAGTGATGAGGACCACTCTTTCTTTCATCCGTCCTGAAACTGCAGTTGAATGTTTGCGAGTCCAGAGGTGACTTATAAGTCCAATACGTGCCCGGACGAGTCTATCTAGCACAATAAGGGCAGGGCACAGTGTCTGTAGACAAAGGGGCTGTTAACAGCAGAGGTCAAGACAGCTGATTAGACTGTCAACAGCTAATGGTGACCCAATAATAGGCGGTGTTATGGGACAATGATGATGATGATGATGAAACAGTATGTGCATATATTTTACATAAACTGTGAAGTGATAATGATCATTTAGTATTGTTTGGTACACAGTAAAATATCAATATCACAGAGTGAGTTTTAGTTAAATTACCATATCACTGAGTTCTGAGTGTTTATTGCACATATAAATCTATATATAGGGACTAGAATACACAAAAGGTGGCTAAACAGTTTTTATAAACACACACACACATATATTTCAAAATTTGTTGCACACATCTTTTATAGGACACTGCAGAATCAACCCCAGAAGATTTTGGCTGTTTATTATTTCAGTAGGCAATTTTATGTCTAGCAGTTTGCCACTGCTTTCTGGATGTTGGGCTCTCAAAACCACCGTTGAGATTAACACAAAACTGTCTGCATTTTATGCAATACTTCCCCTGTGTAAATTCTGGGGTCCCATTGTGGGGGACGACAAGAACAGACCCACTGCCTACCCAACAAGCATGTCGTAAGAGTCGACTAACAGGGAGCTTCCTTCAAAGTCGGAGTGCTTCTGTCTGAGAGGCAAGAAACCAACAAGCTGCAACACTCAGGTTCTGGGACACAACTAAAGTCCAGAGGTGGACAAACAACCAGAACTTTCCCCTGGAGTTTACAGCCGGTGAACGTGAAGAAGAAGAAGATAAGCAATATATATGGCAGGCAAACAAAAATCCTTAAGGACTAAAGTTCACACAAATTTCAAACAAACACAGCAAACAACATATTCAACATTAATTTGTACAATGGGTTAATTGTGTCAAAACGAAGTGTACCATATAGCTCACTTGTGAAAAGCTAAGACTCTTACCAACACCCTTATCCTTTCACTTACCAACATCTTCAACCATTGACCTACCACATCCTAAACTTTTGCCCTCACACATCCTTAAACTTCACTCTACTATATCTTCAAGCTTTACCCTACCACATCCTCAACCACTGACCTACCACATCCTAAACTTTTGCCCCAATACATCCTAAACCTTCACCCTACTATTTCTTCAAGCTTTACAATACCACACCCTAAAACCTTGACTTATCACATCCTCTTCCTTTACCCTACCAACATCCCAATCCTTTTCTTTGCTAACATCCTCATTCTTTTCTTTGACAACATAATCCAACTTTAAACAACCCCATCCTTATCCTCTGCCCTACCAACATCCCTATCCTTTTCTTTGCCAACATCCTCAAACTTTGAATAACCACACCCTCATCCTTGTAAATTCCCTATCCGTAACCTCTGCCTCTACCCATTTCCTTATGCATTGCCCCTACCAACATCCTACGTACTTATACAAACACCAACACAGCTTTAGCTGCGACACGCACACACACAACTTATAACACATAGCATCTGTGGTTTTGATTCAAAGCAATAAGTTGATTTCAGATCATTGATAAATTTAACAGTGGGTGAGGAACCTGGTGAAGTTAAGCTGCATTTAACTCCTTCAGCTTGTTAGGGTACACCTAACAAGAATGCCATGGTACTAGCCGCCACAGCGAGCCACACTAAAACGTTTAAACGGTTATAGAGCGAGTGGAAGACCTCAGAAAAGATGGAGTGATGGCATTAAGAACAGCCTTACAGAAATGAACACCAATCTTAATAGTGCTCTTGACAGAGCTCATCAACGAACATTACATCTCCCTCCGCCACTTTGATGAGGTAAAAGGTGGAAGAGAAGAAGAAGAAGACGAAGCTTGTTAGGGGGGGACAGTATATTTCCTTAAAGATACACTGAAAATGAACAGTATGCATATAAGAGATAGAGAGAGAGAGGGGGGGGGAGTTTTACATACTACCACTAGAGCACAGCTGCGTAACCAACCACTTGAGTGTCCATGCTAGTGCCACCAAGAATTTTCCTGAGGTGCCACAGAACCAACATAGGGATTTCTAGAACCATTTAGAGTTTGGAAATAAGACTGGAGATGTGGGTATACAGAAGAATAGGTGGTATCTCAGGGAAACAAGAACAGTCAAATACAGATGTTCTGGCAAGGCTACAAATGAAAAGAGAATTTCTGAAAGAAATAAAAAAGAGACAATTGAAATACTTTGGCCACATTACAAGACATAACACACTTTTAAAAGTGGAGGGAAAGATCGTAAGCAAAAGCGCAAGAGGTAGGCAACGATACAAGTGGGAAGACAACATCAAAAGATGGAACGACAGCAGTCTCAGAGGGAGTTCAACCAGGACAAGGGACAGGGCATGTTGGAGATCTACTGCAGCCAACCTTCACTGTGGAGATGGCACCTGACTGATGACAGGAGAAAGACATCTGGGAGTCTAAGCCTGCCCCTGCCTCTACTTCAAACTATAAGAAGACAGAAGAGGTCAAACATTGCTTCTAATGATAAGCTGTGAGTCATGCTGTGTCCTGAGTCCTGCTGTGAGTCCTGAGTCCTGCTGTGAGTCCTGCTGTGAGTCATGAGTCCTGCTGTGAGTCCTGAGTCCTGCTGTGAGTCCTGAGTCCTGCTGTGAGTCCCGAGTCCTGCTGTGAGTCCTGAGTCATGTTGTGAGTCCTGATGTGAGTCCTGCTGTGCAAGCTGTGCTGGTGAAGTGAACAACCATGCTGATGCAGAATAACAACAATAAATAAATTCATGTGAGAATAGTTTGCAGATCTGGCTTTCCTGTCTCTCCTTCTGTTACAGATACATTCCTCCCCCAGACCACTCCATTCTCTGAAATGAGAGGAGGACATATTTCTTTCAAACTTGTGTTGACACAGGAAGCAACAAAATTGGTAGCTAAAGATAGGGATGAAGCACTTATGGGAATGTCTTGAGTGCTGTGATGTCGATTCTTAATTCAACATCCATTTTATGTATGTCTGCCAAATGAAGGACCCCATTTTTATGTATGTTTGTCAAATCTTCTTCTTCTTTGCGTTCGGTTTCGTATGCTCAGACCAGACCATCAGGTGGGTTGCCTCTATGAACTCGCATGTCAGCTGCAGGTCCTGTATGGTTCCCATAGCTTGCTCTGCACACTTTGCTCTTGAGGCCAGGTGTCTTTTCGAAGTTGCAGGTAGAGTGTTTGTCAAATAAAGGACCCCATTTTTGTGTATGTTTGTCAAATAAAGGACCCCATTTTTATGTATGTTTGTCAAATAAAGGACCTATTTTTATGTATGTTTGTTAAATAAAGGACCCCATTTTTATGTATGTTTGTTAAATAAAGGACCCCATTTTTATGTATGTTTGTTAAATAAGGGACCCCATTGTTCTTAATGCCCGTTGCGCAGCGCAGGTATCTGATGTTAGACTGACATGTTGATAGACTTATCTGCACTGCCTGAGTGATGTGGTCACCCTCATGCCAGCCATCTTTACTTCCTCTGATAATATCTGGTATCCACTGTAGGCTGGGATGACCTGGGAGCCAAGATATTTAAAAAAGAAAAAACAAGAACAAATAAGACTGCTACGATGGAGATTTGAACCCAAGACCTTCAGGTCAGCATGCAAGCATCTAGCCACTATGCTGTCTAAGGTATGTGTGTCTTTAACAACAGTTTCACTGCCTGAGCTACAGAGTTTAGTGCTTAGTGCAGCCCTGTGAGCTGTATTTTTTTAATGTGGAATGCTTTTCATTTGTGAAGTGGTCGTGTCATGGTATTCAATATGGACGGTAGCCGGTTTACGCGTGAGCTAGTGAAAAACATTATGTTATAGTTCTACGTGTGTACAGTAGCCAACTCATCGTGCCCGACTATTTTCAACAACGACAAACTGCATTTCTGGTGGTGACTGTTGGTTTTGGCACCTCTAGTCACTGAATTATGCATTTAGGGCGTGTGCATATTTCTAGATTGTTCTGGGACTAGTTGTTTGTTCACCAGTTTTTCAGAGTCGACAGTGAGGGATATTTCATTTGATTTCCACTGGCACTGGGGAAACTCGATTGCAGTGAAGCTGAAACCTCAACTAGGCCTAAGTCTAAGACTAATGTCTTTAACAAATTTAGAGAGCAAGAGATAAAATGATTTGGAACCCACATGTGGGTTCCAGTGCTCTTTGCTTGTTGGAGAGGGGGGGGGGGATGGGGAAGAATAGACTAAGGCAACTAATCAGGGGTTCCTTCCTTTGAAGTCGGAAGAGAGGTGAGAAACCAACAGTCTGCATGCAAGTAGGCCAGATCTGTAAAAGGGATGTGCATGCAAAACTCAAGTTCTGGAACAAGACTAAAGTCCAGAAGTGGATGAACAGCCAGACTTTTTTCTCCAGAGCTTATTTATATGTAGACTGTTCGTTGCTCGCTTTTCAGCAAACGAACTACAATTCTGAAGGACACATACATATCCGAATTAGTCTTTCTTTAAGGGTGACAGGTTCAATTCCCGGCACGGTAACTATAGCTTTCGATTTTTATGTTTTCTAGTGTGTTCTTTTATCTTTCTACTTCTTTCTATGAGTGCTGATCAATACACTTTACGTTACTTGATTAATTCATAGTAAAGAGAAGCGGCAGTGCTTTTCATTCACAATGTGACACTGGAACCCATATGAAGAACATAATTTCAATGAATTGAATGCTTTAAGATGAATCTAGAAATAATCTCTACTGAAACTTACCTGCTGTGGTTGTACAAAAGCCAGCCAGTCGGATGCATGGGTCGGCAACAATCCCATGGTCTGACATTTATACACGGCCAGGGCCAAGCAGACTAAGTTGCCAAAACAGTAGACTAGTTTCTGGAAGGCTGCCTGGTTGCCCTCAATACTTTTGAATGCTGAGAATGACACAAGTATTTCTAATTGTGACTAAAGCAAAACAGAAACATTAAAAACTTGTATTCAGTGATGCTTGATAATATGAAAATCAAATGAACGGAAACATATCAGTACTTGGGTGAAAATTTAAACTGCTCCAACAGTCTGAGAGAAGAAATACAATCTAGAATACAATCTGGAAAAAAAGTATACTATGCCCGTCAACATCTGCTAAAGTCAAAGTGTCTGCCTCGCAACACCAAGATCCAAATATATAAAACGTTGATATGACCAGTTGTTTTATATGGCTCTGAAACTTGGAGCACAACTAAAAGAGATGAAGCCTTATTACAGGTTTTCAAAAACAGAGTTATGAATCTTTAGACCCATCAAAGATGCAAACAGTGGGGAATGGAGAGTGAGAAGCAACAACAAATTTACAATCTGTTTAAATCACCATTGATCACTGGCATCATGAGAGCTAATAGACTGAAATGGTTAGGGCATATTGAAAGAATGTAAGATGATAGAGAAGTGAAAACTGTATACACAAGGGAGATGAATGGTCGTAGACCATGAGGCAGACCAAGAAGACGATGGAGAGATAATGTCCAGACAGACTTGCAAACACTTGGTGTCACCAACTGGAAAGAGAAGTCTAACCAGAGAGATGAATGGAGGCGGGGTGATATCTGCAGCAATAAACCTCAAGAGCTCGGAATGCTGAAGAAGAAAGAGAAGATTAAGTGATGCTTGCAAAGAATATATTAAATACATGGTATGACAGAATTACTTTGAGAGAGAATTAAATAAATTCCAGTGAGTAAACAGGTGAAGGGAGTCGCTGTAGCGTAGCGGCTAGACACTCGCCTACGTATCGGAAGGTCATGGGTTCGCTCCCTGGCAGAGCCGGACTTTTAAAAAAAAAATGACCTTGGCTCCCAGGTCGACCCAGCCTAGAGTGGGTACCAGATGCAGTTTGGGAAGTAAAAGCAGCCAGCATGATGCTGACCACATCACACATCTTGTACCGCGGGTCTATAAAATATAGGTCTAGCCCCATATACACAATAAACCTGAAAAGAGGAAAAGCCTGACACTGTATTACAGAGCAGCTAGCACACCGTGTTGTTTACAGCCAGGCTGTGATATCTCCACCTTTAGACCCCACCCATCAGACCACTAATTTGTTGCCTTTGACAACATGCTTGTTAAGGGCTTCTGTGGCATAAGCCCTGCAAATGCGCTTCATAATGCCAGGGTTCGATCCCAGCTGCAAGATATTTGGCAGCAGACCGGCTTGTATTGGTTTTGACAGTGGTATCGAGAGTTGACCATTCAGGAAGCAATGGCAAACTAATGAACATAATTTTGCCTTGAAAAAAAAATGGCTACAAAAAAAAAAAAAGAGTTGGGGTTGGTTCTGCAAAGTCCTGTAAAGGATATGCAACTAACTTGGTTGAGGAAGGCAGTAGGTCTCTCTCTCTCTCTTCCATAGAATTCATAAACAAATCCCCAAAACATAAAGAAAAAGCTCATCCACTGTTCTGTGTGGTGGCCAGGATTATGTTTACCAGATAGTTATGTTAGGTGACATGGGAAGTCAACAAAGTTAACAATAACCCCCCCCCCCCCCCCCCCCCCCCCCCCCCCCCCCCCCCCCCCCCCCCCCCCCTTGCTTTCTCCCTCTCTTACTTCCAGGGAATTCATAAACAAATCACCAAAACACACACACAATCTCACTCACTGTTCTGTATGGCCAGGATTATGTTTACAACACAATTAGGAGATATGGAAGCCCACAAAATGAAAAATTTTAAACAATCTCTCTTTCTCTGTCACACACATTATCTCTCTTCCTCACACTTTCAGAGAATTCATAATCACACACTCTCTCTTTCTCCCCCTCTCCTCTCTCTCTCACTTTCAGAGAATTCATAAACAAATCACCTAGACACACTTCCTTCTCTCTCTCTCTCTCTCTCTCACTCACTTTCAGAGAATTCATAAAGAAATTACCTAGACACACACACACTCTCCCTCTCCCCCTCTCTCTCTCTCTTTCAGAGAATGCATAAAGAAATCACCAAGACAACCAACAACACAAGCTCACTCACTGTTCTGTATGGCCAGCATGGCCTGGATGGGCCTGAAGAACATCATGCCCACCATCATGATGGGGAAGATGGAGATGGAGCTGCCGGCCATCCACATGATGAACATGTTCATGGGCACCTGCTTGATGGGGCCAAGAGCAATATCCCATGACCTCTGAAACAGTCAACAGACAGGTGGGCGTTATCTTGACCTTTCTGATAAGCTTAAAACTTGTCTGTATGTACCACTTTTCAGGGCGACAAAGGACAGGGGATCTTGAGCCCATGGATACTGGACTGCACTTCTAATGCAGTCGCTAAAAACTCTGCAGGTTAGGATCCCCCCCTCTCACCTTTCCACAGAAAACCTATCAGCTTACTCGGGATTCAAACCTAGGTCTCTGTCAGTGACCTTCTCTCTTAACTCTGGCTCGTATCGTAGGCCGATAACAGACAAAACTACCCTAACACACACTCAAACCAAACACCAGTGGAGCACACACAAAATCTTTAATGAACAAAGATCAATTCAACTAACAGTTAGCCTCAAAAGTTGCGGGAATCCCTAACCTGAAATGCCGGCAGACTAGCTTTTACATTCACTAGCGAGGCCAAGCCATTCTCATGGATATCCTGGGTTTCAAACCAATTACACCTTTTGAACAGCGCTGGTTAAGCCGCTGTGCTCACCCCGCAAGATTCTGAGGCGCATCCTGGGAGTATGGCCCAAATGTGCGCAGGCAGAGTTAACATTATTTCCAAGGGGTTACAAATTGGTCATCTTTCATTTGGCTGTTGCAATTTATAAATCAAGCATTTGATGTTCATGTATAAAAATGCATTGTATAAATGTGAATTAAAATACACAAGCACACACACAAAACATAAACAGTCATATCCACATTGCTCAACACACGTACACAAATCCCCCCTCCACACCACCCAAAAAAAGTGACAACACGTACACCCAGATACGACATACACAGGCATATGCACTCTCACAGACACAACACATGGACACAATCAATAGACATCAACACACATTACACACATACAGACTCAACACAAGCACATTATTTAACAACCATAGCTTAAATAGACATAACACATTCACAGAGAAACAACACTCACACATACAACACTCACAGGCATACTCAAGACACACACACACACCACATACAGATAAGCTCACAGACGCAACTCTCATATTCATAGACACAACACCAACTCACAGGTAAACACAGACTCACAGATAAACACACACAGACACAACATTCAAATACATACAGCACTCACACACACAGGCACAGCACACTCACATCACACAGACACATCACTCACAGGTGCAAAGCTCACAGATACAAATACATCACACTTGTTCACATACACAACATTCACATAGATACAGCACTCACAGAGGCAACACTCAGACAGACACAACACTAACAGACACAGCACTCTCACACGACACAGCACACACATAACACAGACACAACACACACACAGATACAATACACTCATAGATAAAAAGATAAATAGATGCAACATACAAAGGAACATACACACACTGACAGACACAATATATACAGACAAACACAGCATACATACATACAGGCACAACACTCACGGACACAACATTCAAAACAATAAGAGAATCATCATTATCACTGAGTGCCATGTCGACTGGCATAGGCGATTATGCCTCTCCACAATCTGCAACTGTCAACAGCATGTCTCAGTTTGTGTATTGACACCCCTCCATGCCATAATAAAAGGCTGTCAAGAAAGGAGGGGGGGGGGGGGGGGGGGGGGGGGGGAGAACAGACTTCGCTGGAGTTTACAGCTGGTAAACACTAAGAATAATAATAAGAAAAAAATGAAGAAGAAGAAGAAGAAACAACTTACTTTAATAATGAGATTGGGATCTGCATCTCTCGTCCTCTCTGCTACAGTAGCTGTGTCTGTAAAACCTATTGGAGTTGGGAAGATTTTCTGTGGATGGGACCAACGATCGATCCGACCGGCCTCTGGCAAAAGAAGACAACAGACAAACCAATTCATGAAACAAACACAGACATAATCAGTTCTCTTTATCCCAGTGGTATATGAGACTTCAGAGAGGACTTTCCATGCCTTCCTGTTCTGTGCAATCTTCGGTGCAGTTTTCCATGTCAGAGAGGCCGCACTCAGTTCAATTTTAATCGTTCGTCTCCACGTTGTTTTTGGCGCCCCTTCTTTCTCTTTCCTGTGGTGTCCAAATGAGAGCTGTTATCGCAGGTATATCAGGATTCTTTCTCATAATGTGGCCAAGCCATTTCCAACTTCTCTTTATCTGTCTAGAGTTTCTTGGTTAGTGACCTGAAGCAGTTTATTGTTTGAGATTTGCCTAGAAAATTGTAATGATTCTACGTAGACGTGTGGTGGAAGGTGGATATCGTTATTGTATCCTTTTAGGTAATTCTCCAGCATTCTGCTCCGTAAAGAAGAACTCATGACAGTGAAAAATTATAAAAAATCGTAGGCATAACATGATTCTCTAATGGACAGTAAGAAAATCTCTGTTAAATGCTGTTAGGCATTGCAGGCACGGCTAATGATCAGTTTCTGGAATAATATGTGTTTGGTATATTGCTGCATGTTGATACTGTTGAGTTTCAGGAAGGCTGTTAACTCTATCTATCCACATTTGTCTTGGCCTTCCTCTGCCTCTTAATGTTTCCATTCTCGCGTTGCATGCTCTTGCAACCGGTGATGCTGGGTTTATTCTGACCGGTGGCCAAACCATTTCAGTCTAAGTTTTTCAATAAATCTAATTACAGGTATTGTTCCCACCATTTTAATGATTTCTTCGTTTCTTTTATGGTCTTTTCTTGTTATGCTGACTGATTTTCTCACATTTTTTGGTACCTATAAAAAAAATGTAAAGGACTGATTTATCGCCTTTAGCATGCCACACATTTTTACTAGCATTGTGGTTACGTCTGCCAAACATGGATATTAACAGCAAAGGAAGAATTAAACAAGAGAAATGAAATATACTATTTGAAACTAGAATAGATAGGATCAGAAATGAGGGTGAGGAGCTGAGTCAAGAATTGACATCACAGCACTCTAGGCATTTCCATGTGTGCTCCGTCCTCATCTTCAGCAGCTAGCACAGAGTTCCAATACTGATGGTACCGGTCACTATCTGGTTATATGTCCGTCTTGCCTTTCCTCTAAGTGTAGTGAGCTGGCCAGACCCTCTGGTTACACCCAGGTGCCTCATTCTATCCAGGCCATAATAATCTTGTTTTTCTAATAATTCCGTTGCTTGTTCCCAAAGGGTCTTGACAACATCTGCCTTGTCATGTATCAATTCACCACCCACTGGTACATATCCAGCCAATATGTCTGCATGTTATTACTCGCTACACTGGCATGGCCTGGAGAAAAGATCCAAAGTATGCTCAGAAATGATGATACCAGGAAACGTTGGGATAGAACCAGTACTAAACTACACCAACAGACAACAGATAAAATGGTTCAGACATGTGTCAAGCCTATCACCAGTTAGTGCATCACAGAGAGCCCTGTCACTTAGACAAAATGGAAGCAGTCCTAGAGGTCAACCAGGAAAGCGTTGGAGAGATGGAAAATCCAAGGCCGTAAATACCAACATCTATATGGTAAACATGGCCATAGATCGGCATTTACAGGGACGTGGGACAATCGAAGTAACTAGATTTAGGCTTCTCAGGGCAACACAGTTAAATCAGTTATAAATTGACGAGTTATGTTTTCCATGGTGCTGAAAGAGTTAAATGTCCTGTGTCTACATTCCTGATAGTCGTCCCATGGTATTTCTTCTAGGAACCATCAAGACAACCGCACAAAATTATAACTTGGATGGTCAAAAAAAGGAAAGACGAGGTCATTCTGTAATCGCTGTTTACTAGACACATAATAATAAAGCAATCAAAAATAGGTGTTTAGCAATTTGCCAAGATAAATAATTTGAATTACACAGCACAATAATTATTTAAAAGGAAAGGAAAAGTAAATGACCCCTTCCCAAGCCTTAGGCACATTGGGCATGCATGGCTAGACTTATATTTTACAAAACTATGGCATTCGGTGGGTGATGTGATCAATTTCAGGCCGGCCAACTAACTTTACTTCCAATGGTAGTACCAGGTATCCATTCAAGGCTGGGTAGACATGGGAGCCAAGGTCATATTTGAAAGAAACAAAGCCTGTTTCCATGAGGACTTGAACTCACGACCTTTGGATCCACAGGCAATCGTCTAGCGGCTACATCATGGTGGCTCCCGTAATAATTATTTAAATACTAATAATTCTGGTGCATTGATTGAGTCACCTAGAACTTGAGAAATTTTTTGTAAGACCACAGCCAGTTAAAGCAAGAAACTGTATGCGACCCACAGAGAATCTGGTTGTAATGTACAGGGAGAAATGAACACAATCTAGAAAGCTGTGGGCAAATAACAAAACGATGGTCTTTTCTGACAGACAACGTCGATGCAGACTCACTGACTTACCTTCCAGAGGAAACAAACTCAATCGCCCACTTATGTCGTCGTTTGGACATCTTTGATGTTCGCCAGCACAAAAAAAATATCCTTTGCTACAGAGTAGCTTTATCGTAGTTTGTGCTACGGCACCAATGTGGTGTTACTTTAAAAAAAAACGTAATGTCTGACTGTCTTTAAAAACAATAATGCGACCTTAAAATCGACTAAAAATGTCTAGAAAATTCTGAGGAGTCCGTTAGTCCGTCTTCTGCTAGTTGCAGACAATGGCACTTCCGCCCAATCAGTGTCTATCAGGTCGTAGCCTGGAAATTAAATAACAGAGATTCCTGCATGCAAAGACTGGACTCAGCGAATTGTGAGGATGAAACCTTTTATGGTTCAACGGAAAAAAAGGCTCTGTGGAGAGCTCGGAGCAAGGCTGGGCACTTAAGACGCCTTGGTCATTCACTGCACCTAGGTCCATTTCCTATCGTCTCGACATTGTCCTGCCATTGGATCAAGATGGACACAGAGAGTGAGGTCTACGAATTGCATAACTACTCCTCACTTAAATTCAAGTCACTTTTATTCAGTTATCTACTACTTTGGGTGA